ATATATTAGAATATATATATTTTTAGTATTTATGTTTAGGGTAACTCTAAATCAACTTTGATATATCTTAAAATTAATTTTTTGTCTAAATGCTATCAAGGATGCCTCCTTTGATTGATTTATTGCATTTAAATAAATTTTAAACCCTAAATTTAGTTTATAAAACATTTATTTACCAAAATATATATTTGTTTTACCCCATAATAACTATTATTTTTTATTTTTTTAAATTAAGAATTTAAAAACAATATATTTTTATATTTATTTATAATACCTTGAAAAAATAAAGAGAGATTTTTTTATAATTAAACTACTAATTGAAATGAATAGATAATAATAAAATAAAAATAAAAATATTATTTACTTTAAAAAATAAAAAAATAATTAATTTAAAATAAATTTAAATTAAAAAATAAAAATCATTTTAAAATATAGTGGGTATAAAAATATAGTAATTAATCAAGAGCTGTTCCGTTTCCTGCAGAAAATTTAAAAAAAAAAAAATCAGGAAGGAAAAATAATGTCATTTCCGAAGAGATATTGATTGCGTGATTTTTTTTTGAGGAACAGATATTGATTGCGTGTTAAATACAGGCAGCGTTATCAGATATTTTTTTTATATTATTTTTTGATATAATTTTTATATATTATTAAATAAATAAATATATTCAATAATATAAATTTTATATAAATAAAAAAATTAATTATTTAAATAATACATTAAATTATATAAAAAAATAATATAAAAAAATTATCTCAAAATCATTTCATTAACATATAATCTTCCTTAGGTCAAAATTGAAAAATTAATTTACTATTAAATAAAATACGTAATAAAATAAATTAAGAACCCAAGAGATCGATCTATAGGTAGCTCTCTCCCTAATGAGGTGCTAAGCAATGGTTAGGAAATTCTTTATGAAAAATAATTCACGTGTTTTCTTATCAATCGATCCTTTTCATTTAGCCAACTTGGGAATTGGTCATTATTTTGTTTTGAGTTAATCTCAAAATTACACATAGGTTTTATATGTAAGTTTTATACAACATTTTAACAATTATTTTTTTAACTATATTATTTGAAAAAAATTATTTTTACACATTAGTAATTCAGTTCACCATCGAAAACTTTTCCTTTTATCTCCATTTCGTTTTTTAAGGATTATAAATGTAAAAGCATAAAATTAATTATACAATGTTGATGTATGAAAAAAAAACAAAAAACAAAAAACTACTCCTTCCTTTCAATTTTAATTGACCTAATATTTAATTTAGAGTATTTAAAATTAGTTATTCATTTTTTTTAAATTCCATTTAATGCATTACTATTTGGCCCTTATTTTAAGAAAATAATTACAATATATAGTATATATTACAATAAAAATGATTATTTAAATAGTAATGGTTAATTAAAAATAAATATAAAATTTTATTAATTAATTATTACAATTTTACTTTATGTTTTTTAGGATAGAGGGAGTAAATCCATTAACTTTAATTGTCATCATTTTAATACTTTTTAACACTCAACTTCAAATGATATTTTTTTACACATTTGAGACTGGAATGTTTAATTCGATGGCTCTGCTACAAAAATATTAAATGATCAGAACAGAGGGGAGAAAAAAAAAACCAAGAAATTAATTTAAGCAATTTCTCTATATTTTTAACCTGTTTTTTCTTCTCTTCTAACAAATAGAACCTTAAACCTGAATGTACAAAATCCAAAGCAACATGGGAGAAGGAAGAAGCATCACTTTGGGTGGTCCTTACAATAATATGTGCAGAAGCAAATGGAGCCTCTGCATTGTCCCACTCCAGCAGGTTTTTTAGAGCACTCCTGGATGCATTTCCGAATTTCACATCTCTTTGAGTGGATGATCTTCTGACAAGTATGCTCAGGGATCCTTCCTGCAGACGCATAGCAGGTAGTTGGTGTTGGGCTAAACACAGCTGTTTTAGTGAAAGAAAAACAAAGATAAAAGGAAAACATCCCACAATTAGTAAATTTATAGGTCCCTTCCAGTGATTTTCTCTAAAATATCACACTTATATAACTAACAAACATCATAATCATATAACAAGTCAACATTGTTAGAAATGTAGAGATGAGAACAATAAGAAAAGTTGAATAATTAGTTAGTATAGAAGGTCAAGAGAGACAACCTGAGAGGAGGAGGAGCAAAAGAGGGACGAGCATCCAGGATATCCTCATCTTTAACCTTCTTGGTGGTACAGACTTGAGGGACTAATTTGCGGAGTTAGAGAGGCGTGTTCTCAGTATCTTGCTATTAAAGGTAGGGAAGATTAGCTTAAAATACCAAACCAATGATTGCTTAAAGCAGTAGTCTTACAAAGAATAAATTGTGTCGTTGAACGCCAAGTCACACTCCCTGTAGTACTTGTGAGAAGCTTCTCCTTTTTCAAGACATATTCCTTTCTTTGCAGATACTTCTTACAACTGCCATATAAACCTTCATACTTTTTTCAGAAACCGGATTCTTGGCTAATTAAGCCTTTAAGGTTTAAGGTGCTGTAATATTGTTTCACCCTCGTCAAGAATAAGTTTCCGGAGCCTGAAGATCTTTTGATATCAACAAATATATGGTTTTGTTGGAACGAGGAAATGAAATGTTATCATAAATACAAAGAATAAAGCAAAAGTTGATCATTGAATAAAGAATGGCAGACATTTCAAGTCCCAAATTTTTTTCAGATCATGCTTTCGCCTACATTCTTGTCTAGAACATGGCAAGAGACGAACACTTCGTGTGTAAGGTCAGGACTGGCAACATAAAATTTGGTGAAAATTCAGCATCCAAATATGACAAACAGAAAAGCTTTGATTAAGAGAGATTTTCACAGCTTATCACTCTAACAAGACACATAATTTATCTTTCAAAGTTACAAAGATTTTCCACCAACAATTCTGCATAAACAAGACTTCTCTGATCATTGAGTTCGATTTAAGTTATAGGTAAATAATCGAGTACCAAAGAAACACTCACTTAGATAACAAAATATGGTTTAGAAAGTGAATGTCATATGTCGACAAACAAGTGCTCAATTGAAAACATCCATTGTCTCAAAATTGAAAGACAGTAATCTAACATATTTGATGAAATGTAAAATACTAAAGAAAGCAGACAATCAAACTACTCAAGCCCAAATTTTTTGCTGCAAATAAACAAAAACAAAAGAGGAAGATCTAATAACCGCCCTTGAGATCATTAACAACATCATATGGAATAGGAGTTACAGTCTCCAACTTAGCACCTTCCACCATGAAACCAGGCTTGGGACCCTCAGGTTGTCTCTTGGTGCTAATGACCTCTCCTTTTGCCTTAGCTTCTGCCTTCAGTTGGTCATTCTTTGCCTTCCTGAGCTTGAATTCCTCAGTGCACCTTGAAGGTTGAACATGCTCCACTCTCACATGGATCCTCTTCCTAATAATCCTGTTCCCCACCTGGATTCAAAATTATGCTTAATAGCTAAGTTCAAACACTTTCAATAACACCATTAAAACAACCATACAACATATGCCCAGTGTGCTTGTACATACCCATTTTGGGGAATTTTGAATCAAAGAACTTGGAATTGACAATATAATCATAATCAAAGGCAAAAAAGCAAGAGCCCCATTACAGGGGCACTTGAGAGCCAAAACAAAGTACTACCACCCAAATGCTACAATGCTACAATGTAACATGCACTGAAACATTCTCAAATCAAAAGAAAGTTGAACAATTTACACAAAACCAAACACATAATTCAATTGAGACCCATGTATTACCTAAGAATTGAACAACAAATAGCATTAAACCTGGTAAGAAAACATCATAAAGATCATCTTCAACCACAGACATTGATGTTCTCATATATAGATTAAAACAGTTGTCTGAACAAAAATACTGTAACAACCCAGACAACTTCCATTTACATCCATTTATACCCCAAAAGATGAACTGAAATCAAACCTAAAAACCAAACTTTCTAAGCCTGAATTGCTCAGTTGAGAGAAACCCATAAATGATGTTACGATAGAGGGAAAAGATTAAAAATTTATCGAACCTGCTTGTTGATCTCGACTCCGATGGCGCGCTTGGTGACGTTCCAGACGCGACCGGTTCGGCCATGGTAGAACTTGTGGGGCATACCCTTATGAACGGCGCCGTTCACCTTGACGTCGACGTAGTCGCCGATCTTGTAAGTCCTCAGATATGTCGTCAACGGGATGTAACCCTTCTTCCTGAAGGGTCTGGAGAACAGATCCCTAGTTCGCGACCTGAGACCATGACCAGCCGGCATTGTTCCTCTGGATTTCTCCTCCCTCGCTGGTTCTCAAAGAAGAGGATTAGCGTGGCAGCTCTTAAAACCCTAGCTGATGGCTTTTATATCTGATTTCTAGGGTTTGTTGTGGGTATGGGCCATTTTCTGGTTAGGCTTTGGACTACTTTTAGTTTCGTATCTTACAATCTTGGGTTTCTTATTATCCCTACAATGGGCCAAGCTACTTTTGATAGGGTCAGCTACATGAGTGGTACAGTGGGAGGGAAGCCCAAAACGTTAGATGTGTAAGGTGTTACGTTGCGTTTGAGTTGCTACCCCTTTTTCCCACAAGCACTTTATAAAACTCTTAATTTATTATAATTAAATTAATTTTTT